CCCCAAAACCCCAAAACCCCAAAACCCCGCTTTTCTAAATTTCGGAAGTATGGTAAATTAATGGATTGTATAATTAATAAGATAATCATTAAAATTTGTTAATATCAGATTATAAAGATTCCAAAAGATTAGCTCACCACCAGGTCCCATCATTCTTTTCAGTTGGATTGTTATTATTGTTTCTTTTACTTCTCTCAGACTCTAAGGCAAGTAGTCCCTCCTCCTAAGTGCAATCTTCTTCATCCTCCTCTTCAATACATGCTTCTTAAGCGAAATTTGACTTGGCAGATTGCATTAATTTTTAGTTTTACTTATGATAATTATCCTATAGAGTTGATTAATTTGAGGTAGTAACTGGCACAGCTACATTTCCCTTGATATTCTGAATGATTTAGATTAGAGTATCAGCATTTTCGGCTATTTATTCAATATCCTTCTCAGTCATGTTTTGAAAGTCAAAAAGACCTCCGCCTTACTTTTTAACTGGCTACTATTCTTAGCCTCCTTAATATATAATCTGCCTCCTTACTGTCCTGTTTGCTGACTTAGTCCTTTATTTTGGCTGTTTCTTATTTTAATTCATTCTCAAATCTGGATTGCTATTAATTGCTTCGTTATTTAGAATCACACTTGGCTTTTTGGCTGAATTTGATAATGGTCTTGTGATCTAGCTTTATTCTGTATCAAAGTCAATATTGATCTGCTAGCTCTACAATCCCTAGTTGTTTTTATTGATGGGAGGCTTTGAAGACATTGGTCTGATTCTCTTCTATGGCTAGATTCTTGCTTTGGTAATCTAATTTTGCATATTTGATATATTCTCCTTGTAGACTTGAGAAAAAAGTGCCCCTTTTTGCTATGAGACATTGAAAAGCTAATTGAATTATCTCTGAGATTGAGTTGATTACTGCATGTTTAAGTCCTTTGGAATCCTAATTTTCTCATCTAAAATACTGATTTGATTATTCTTTTTATCTGTGGTGCTACTACTCTTCTAAGCACTATCATAGAATTTATCAAACATTGAGTTATCCTGATTCGTGTAAGGCCTGACTTGAGGCTACTGGTGATAAGTACTTTGCTGCATGTTGTAAGCCTGTTCAATTTTCATTATATCAGATGAGATATCATTTGCCCTTGAAATGTTCAGATCCTCCTGTAGCTTGAGATCCAATGAATCATTCATCAAGTTCTCGTACTTTCCACTCTCTATATAATCCACAGCCTTGAATATCTCAGATTTTGCTTTTTCAACTTTCTGTCTCACATTCTATTGATATTCCTTTTCCCAATCAATCTTAGGTAGGTTCTTCACTGTGTCCTTGTTATTCTTAGCTTATTAACCCATCACTCTTTAGAAGTTATTCCTATCCTTGTAACTGCTTTTCCTCTTAGCTTCCTTGTTAGACATTAAATGAGACTGTTCTAGATTTTGCTATACTTCTTGTATTTACTAGAGCTCAGAGTCTTCATTCAACTTAACATAAGATGCAATCTCTTTACCCTATTCAACTTTTGAAAACATCATCATTGCCTAATTTTGAGGAGGCTTGTTGCTGTTAGACTAGGATAGTTGAGACTCGTTCATGCTATTATTGTCAGAAGCTTCTTGCTCGTTAAAGTTGACTTTGTTATTAGTGTTTGCATTGCTTTTAGATTAGCTCATATAATTATTACTCTAAGTGAAAAGCTAACAATCTATCTTTCTTCTCTAAGTATATTGATTATAATTGGTAAATTGCTGTTTTTAGTAATCTTAGTCAGAAGCACTGCCTTTCTCAGATCCACTCCGTTTAGTCAGAGAAGATCTATTCTGCTTAAGGACCTACTCAATATCATGGTTTTTAGTGCTAGAATGCTATTGCCCAAATTAAGTTGACTAGGCCTTCATTTGCTACTTCATCAAATAAGGTTTCATTGACTTTTATGATAGTTAATCTGAGTTCAGAGATTCAGTATGAGAAGCGATATGCTTGTTTGAGAACTAAAAATTTTTACTAGATGTCTGACTAACTACTGTTCTTGATGGTCTTTCATCTAGCTGAAAGTTTATGTATTCAATCATTGATCTAACGTACTGATAGCATTTCTCGCAAATCTTAACGCTTTCATACAAGAACAGTGGATCTGTCTTCTTCAAGGTGTACTTTTCAAATGTCAAATTAGGATGTATCTTAAGAATAGGTTTAGGTATAATCTACTGATTAGTCAGTGGCACAACTTTGAACAAAATGTTTATTCTCAGGTTTTCATTCACATCATTTTAATTTTATATCAGCTCGACTGGAAAGTCAGCATTGTCTTTATGGAAATTCCAAATCTTTTAGATTTACTAAATATTCACATCGAATGCTTCATTAGAATAGTCAATGATCACATCGCAGAATGGGCATTCTTGAACCTTCAATCTATTTGAAGAAGCCTTTTTCATCCCGTAATTACTCTATGGTCTGGCAAAACTGCTCTTTATCTGAGAATTCACAGATGGTAATTCATTTTACTATCTTAATTGACTAGCCAACTTCAATCTGATCTCTATACCATCATTAGTATTCTTATCTACTTTATCAATCTTAATGTTAGTGGCAAATATTAATACCAGTCCGTCTGCCTTATCTATCTTAAAGTAAAATATCCCACTCAGAAGTCTCACACCAGAGTTTTCAAACATGTGCTCCTCAATTTCTTAAACAGCAGCATTCACCTCCTGCACTATGTTATTAGACACAATATTTTCAGACTTAGACAGATATGAGGGACCCTCGAATGTTGCTGTTCTATCTTCTAGTGGTATCTTATTTTCATTCAACTTATAGTTATTCGTTTAACGCTCTACTATAGAAATAGCTTAAGAAAAATGACATCGAATCATTTGATTGCAAGAAGTTTTCGAAAATACAAATTTCTATAGCGCTGTTGGTTTTTCCTATTCCTCTAGTGTAAAGAATATGTATGTTCTAAAGTCATTAACAGGTATATGATCCATATATAAATCCAAGAAGGGGGAATCCTTTTGATAATTATAGGAAGTAGCAACAACTTAGTCTTGAGGAGATATTTTCTTCGTAAACTTTTAATGAATCATCTTCTAATTGACATTAAACTTATTTTTTTTCAGGATTATACCTTCTTTATTGGTAAAATACCAAGACTCTGGCCTTCCATGGCGGTAAAATACTGTCTCTGGAACTGAAAAGGAAAACTTAGGGGGAGAAGGTCCTACTTTAGTCCAGAGGTTATAGAATAACCATTCCAATTCAGAGTTAATGTTATTCATTTTAAGATAAAAGCAATTATTATCGTTTAAATTTGTAATTATTAAAATATATAATTAGATAAGTTAACTTCAGTTCGATATGAATTAATTTTAGAACACATCAAAAATGATAAAATTATATGAGATCCTACTATCATTATTGAAGGGATTAAGTGTTTCAAATGAATTTCCTATATAGTCAAGGCTTCTTTTTGTTGAGTAATATACTTTGCTTGCTAATACTTTCATCAGCTTGTGCTTTCGGACCCTTTAAAGAAGGCAAATTTTTCTTTTTATCTGGCGATATATTGGAGTTTTAAGGATTTGTATTATTGGGGTTTTTAAGAAAACTGCTTTTATCATAATTAAGACTCAATCTATTATTATTATTATTCTCATCTCTGTTTAAAGTCCCTAGTCCTGTATTTACTATTGACCCCCCTAGACTTGGTCCACCTTAGTTCAATTTGGCCACACCACTATTCTACTTAGGAGTGTAATTTTAATTGAATAGAGATTAAGTTAGATTATTTGGTCTTGAAGGGAATTAGAAACTACCATATTTCTAGGGAGTATTTGCAGCATTTATATCAAACTAGTTACTTGATGAAGGATTAATGATTGACTACGATGGATTAACTATATTATTTACAGTTTTCTTCAATTCAGTTTAGTTACTTCTAGAGTTAGATTTTGGTCTTGAGTTTTAATCCTAAGTTGGAGAGCTTTTATTAAAACCATTACTAACTTGCATTTAATTCAAGCCTTGTCTAGATTTTCTATAAAGGCTAGAATAATCATTTGCTTGCTGCTGTGTTGTCTATGGTAGAGGCTATTGATTTAACTTCTCGGAATTGTAGAATGAGGCTAATGCTCTATTTCGTGAGTTGACTATTTGACTCAAAGTAGAGCCATTACTATTTGATTGCTAAGTTTAATTGGAATTCATAGAGTTTTGCTTAGTGATACTATCTTGCTAATTTTAAGTGTCTAAAATTTGTTGCTACTAAGCCAGATAATTTGTCTTGCCATTCGTATTTGTACTTTGTTGTAGAAATTTATTCCTGTTCGTCTTTCTAGATTAAATTGTAGTGATCTAATTTTGAATGCCAAAGGTTGATTTCTAATTTGATTTAAGCAAAGGCAGCCCTGACTCATTTTAACTTACAACAGAATCCTATCTCTATGGAGATTATGAATCAATTTCACTGCCATCTTTATTTACTCCATAGTGATTGTGTGATCTACCTCTGGATGAAAGTCTTGGATCTCTTTTTGAAGCAATTAACTTTTCAAGCATTAATTTTTTATTTCTCTCTAGAGAATTTTGCTATTACGGTGTCTATTAGTTTGAGTTTATAGTGCTTGGAACGAAATTAGGTTGTGAGTCTTCTTCTAAAATTTTGATATTTTTTGTATTTGACTAATCACTATCTCTTTTATTATAATACTCATCTACATTTTTAAAAGCTATAATGACTAGGGTCAAATTATCAAAAGATTTTTCAATAGCTGACAGTTGAAGAATTGAATCAACTATCTTCCCACATACTTGATGAATAGTTAAATTTTACCCAGAGTTTTTATGCTATTAAATAGTTTTCCATGCACAGTCTTACAATTATAAGTTATTTAATCGGTCAAATATACCATCGCAACCAAGAATTATAAAATCGTGCAAGTCATCCTAGATTGCAAACTAAGCTATTTCAGGCTAGGCAATTACCACACCTTATTTGCCACCATATTTATCAAGTTTAGCCTCAATATCTCCAAATGTCCTTGAAACACTTAGTCTACCTGGAAGAACTCTAAATGGCCCAACTAAGAGTTATTAACTGCCATAGAGCTAAGGATTTAAAGAATTTTAGGGAGATAATGTTTAGTATGTCTAGGTTTGATATATTTTTCCACCGTTTTCAGTAATTCTACTCTTCTCAGTATCTTCATTAGGTCGATGATCTCTAGAAAGCACAAAAAGCTTTTGTCCATGTTCAGCTGACATTATTGCTCTACTATCTCCTACATTTGCTACATAACAGTTTTATTCAACAATAAGTACAATAATCCCACATGAACCTGACTTATCATGTTTTCCAGCTTAGTCTGCCATGCTTGTAAACTGCTATTCAGCAGCCAAACAACCATTAGTCAAAGCCTATGCAGGATTCGAAGGAAAGCAATCTTAATTAATAATGATTTGATGTAGATATTCTTTTAAAAAGTCTGCACACTATGAACCTCCATGACCATCATATATGGCAAAAAATGAACACTTTGGCCATATGGATAAGTTCTTTTTGGAAGCTGGTCTAGTCATATTTAGAATGATTGACACTCTATCCTCATTATAATTTCTTTGAATGCCCTAATGAGTATTGGCTGCGTATGAGACGATTAATCCATGAGATTTAGAAGAATACTTAGCCTCGTCAAAATTTTTCAAAGGATTCTTGATCTACTCCTGTGCAGTCCAATATTAATTAGATTTAAGGACTGATTTATTATCGTTTTACTGTCTCGATTCACTGTTTTATCTCTACTGCAATTTATGATCAAATGAGCCACCTGTGCTTGATACCAATGGCTGATTTTAATTTTAGTTCTAAGGTGTCATTACATTATTTGTAAATGTCTGTATATGATCGAGGCCTCCTGATTTAAAAGCATTACTGCCTGCAACTCCTCAGCTCTGACTAGAATTTCTAAATGAATCTAGTTTCAGTTGATTTTAATTTGTCTATGGGTAGTTCTCTGAATTATAATTCTTGAGTGTGGATTGCCTTTCCTAATTTCTTGAGTACTTTTCTATCAAGGTTTGTTTCTAGTCAGACTATTCTGCAGCTTTACTTACTCTAGTCTCAGACTTCCTAGATGAGGGTTTTTCAATTTGAATAGAATTTCTTTTGTTGTTATGCGATTCTTTGCGCAAATGATTCGATTGTTATGGAGGAAGCTTATGATTTGTGTCCTTCTCATTGGATCCAATGATTAATGAGGCCTTTTTAGAGTCCTGAGTTTGATATTACTTTTTAAACTAAGTGTCATGAGGGGACATCAATGGATCACCATTTCTAGATTGCTTATTTAGTTGTGTTTAAGATGCATTCTAACTGGTGCTTTAATTAGCCATGTTTCCTGAATTATGGCTATTGACGTTATGGCTTTAATACATTTGATTGTTTAAGTTATTAAGACCTGAAATTTTAGTAGGGTTATTCCTGGACGACAAATTGCTAGCCCTCAGAGAGTTGGATATTTAGCTGGTATTCAGATCACGCCTCCCGCTCTGAGAGTCATTCCTGATGAATGGTTCACTCTGAGCCATATTGTAATTATTGCTGTTACCATTTATCTCACTCGAGTCTTTTGCGATATTATACTATACTAACACTTTTTAACAACTCTATCTGAAGTTTACCTCTGGAGGAGTTTTTGGTAGCATTGCTTTGAGTAGTAGACTTTCTAGTATAATTAGCAGATCGCTAGTCAATTATTGCCTGCTTGTTTAAGTGGGGTTAGAGGTCGTCCTGCAGCTTTGAGTTTTATCTCTGATCCTTTTAAAACTTACTATCCATGTTATTATATTTATTGATTAGAATCGTATTTCAATTTATGCAATAATTATGTATCAAAATTTGCTTTAATTTTATACCATGGGGTTTTGGGGTTTTGGGGTTTTGGGG